AACCATAAATTTCATTTTCTAATTCAGGATACTTTGGTGGTCTTCCATTATTTAACTTTCTAATATGAGGTGAAACACGCATCAAATTTTCTTTTTTACTTCGCCAATCTCTAACTTGCTTTGGTTCTATATTGAACTGTGTGGTGGTTGCACGAACACTATTATTAGGGTGCTTTTCAAGAAATGTAATGATTGCAAGTTTCTCGCGAACATTCCACTGTCGCCTTTTTTTTTCAGTAATTCAAGCCTGGCCACGATTACGTACCATAGTGTAAAGAAATACAGTAAAAAAAAAAAAAGAAAAAAATCATATTTAAACTTACTGTTATCTAGTGGTACGTACCATATTCTTTATTTCTTTAAAAGTAAACTTTGCATGTCACGCTGGTATCAGTACAGTAATATCTAACCATATCGATATATTAACTAATTAATGTACCCCCATTGTAAAGTACCCCCGCTACAAAGTACCCCCCTGTATTTATACCCGCCCCCGTAATTAGTACCCAGGCGGGTACTATTCAATAAAATTAGTGGTTGAAAGAATAGTACCCCGGGTACTATAGTCAGTGGCGTACGGTAAATCAAATACGATTTCGCTCAAGTAGAGGTTCAAGCAATATCTTACGATAGAAAATTAATGAACACATAATACTGATAGTAGTTGTCGTTATAGAAAAATTCTAATAAACATCTTAATATGTATAGTTTGTAAATATTGTACGATTTAAACAAGCAAACAAATAACAAATAATTACGTAGAATATGTAGAATATAAACGAATAATTAATTAACAAAACGTACTAATTTGAGTATGATCATCCACTTTTTTTTTTTTAATGAATGTGCATAAAATAATTTTCTTTCCACCTTAAGCAAATTTTAATGATGTATCGTGTTTTCATAGCTTTTATATTATTTTTTTCCTTAGTTATATCTGAGATAGATCAGAATTCAGAGTCACAACAAATCATACAAAAAAGAATAAGTGCGAATAGAGCTTCAAATGAATCCTTATTATGGGGAACTTATCGACCTAATTTATACTTTGGCACGAGGCCTAGATTACCTGAAAGTTTGATGACCGGTTTAATGTGGTTTGGGGTTAATGACCTAGAGGGTTTTCAAAGTAAAATTCTAATTTATTTATTTTCTGCTTAAATTTTGATTTTTTATTATTTATCGATTAATTTTTTCCAACAGAAATAAGACACGAATGTGATCAATCAGAAAAATTAGAAGAATATAGTTATAAGAAACATGATGGTCGAGATTTTGCACTCCAGACTATTACCGACGCTGAAAATAATGTTATATTGAATATAGAATTTTTGAAAGTATCGGGTGGTGGTCATGGTAAATAAAAGTTACTTGAAGTGAAACATTTCATATTAAAAAACTTAGATTGTAGCCTATTTTATTATTTACAGGTGGAGATTGGGCAGTTCGAATATCCGGAAAACCTATTTCTGAAGGTATATGCTTTTTTTATCTTTACGATTGACCTTCACCTGTACTCAATAAAATTTTTTCGAATAGACAAACCCTCAGGATTATCACTTCTGTATTATTTTGGATTAGAAGGAGATGGAACGATAGATTTAGAAAGTAGATTAGACCAATCGGTAATTTTTTTGAGTAATAGTCAGAATATTTTATCTTTTGTGTATTAAACATATCCGTAAACCTATTATTATGTTTAGGGATTAGACAATCCTGTCGAGCTTAGTGGAACAACGCCTGATCTCGGACCATTCTCTATTAAGATAGTTGATGGTTTGTTTCGATATTTATGTTAAATAAAAATTGTAGCTCTTATTAATTCGATATGTCTTCAATAGGTCAAGGTAATAGGATTCCAAAGTCTGCTGCATTGAGCATGCAAACGCATCCTGATTTACGAAAAACGCAATATTGGGGGCATTTAATTCCTGATGGTGATATATGGCGCGCAAAGTGTATGTATAATAATGAAATGTTTATTGGTTTGCCGGTATTATTTCAGAGAATAAACGGCTCTAATTTTATGCTTTCTAAGTTTATTTAAGAGGATTTTATTCCCAAAAGCTTGAACATATGCGTGAACAACTTGCCTCTGGAAATATTCCTGCCCCGCCTTTCTTATTTGCTTTACATAATCAAATGCATGAAAATTCTAATTTTTATATTTTTCAAAAGATGGTGGAAGCTCCATTCCAGGTAATTGTCTCGTCATGTGAAGTAATTTATTCTATGATTAAATAATTTAATTTTCCTGGTGTTCTTTTATGCAGTTTGATATCTTTTTTGAGTCGGGTTCATCTCCGGTACATATTGAAGGTTGGAAATATTATTTATATGTATTTTTGAAGGATGAATGTTCGTCTTTCAATGGTTAAATTTCATTTTATACAACCTATACATTATTAGAATCAGATTTTACTTCAAATCTTCAATCTAGTTCAAAAAATTTTGATACGAAATTTGAGAATATCTTTGGTTTAGCTTCAAAGGGGTTTGATGATGACCATATTTATTTTGCTCAAACAATGTTGAGCAATTTAATTGGTGGAATAGGGTAATTAATTATTTTTTGCTCTTAAATATATTTATTTCTTTTTTAGTGCTTTAAATTTATACAAATTATATGTTAAATAGGTATTTCTATGGATCAAGTATAGTTGATAGATCTTTTACAGATGTGGATGAAGCTGAGGAATATTTTTGGGACAATATCAGGAAAGCAGATCCTAAATTAACACCACCATCAGCCTTATTTAGTGCCACACCATCTCGTCCTTTCTTCCCCCGCGGATTTTATTGGTAAAATACGCTATTAATGTATAAATTTATCCTTATATAAATTTATGTATTGATTCGAAATCATATTTGCATTGATTTATTTAACAGGGATGAAGGATTTCATCAACTTTTAATTGGATATTGGGATAATGATCTTAGGTGACAATACTATATAACACATTATATTATCCTTGCATCTTAAAATAATATTACTTATTTTAAACGATTTAATTCAATAGTTTGGACATAATCAAACATTGGACATCACTAATCGGTAATGATGGGTGGGTTGCGCGCGAGCAAATTTTGGGCGAAGAGGCTAGAAGCAAGGTATGTCATATTTATCTTTAATTTTATCGAATCTAGAGATATTTATTGTATTACAATCTCAGAATAGCGTTTCTATTTGGAACCTATAATATTTTTAAAACAGTTACGGTGGATGTCAATATTGTAACCGCTCTTTACATCTAAGAATTGAATTATTTTATAGGTTCCTCCAGAATTTCAAACGCAATATCCACATTATGCCAATCCTCCAACATTATTAATGGCAATTGAGTCTTTCATTGAACGATTGGATAATACTACAAAATCACAACAATTTAATATAGATGGTAACTCTGCCATAATTCTATATTAATGCTTTTTTTTTTTTTTTTTTTTTTTATGTATACATTCTTATCATTTTCTATTATTGCATTTCATTTTGCATTTATCTCTTAATATATGCAGCGGATATAGCTTTGAACTTAGGACCGTCTGATATTCTAACTACTACCACAGATTCATCAATCTTACCAACACGTCATTTGCAAGATTTAGATTTAGCAAAGAGTTTTTTAGCAGAGATCTACCCAAAATTAAGATCAAATTATAAATGGTTTAGGAGAACACAATGGGGTGGAATTAAAGAATGGGGTAGAAGAGCTAGTAATAGTAGAGAAGCTTACAGATGGAGAGGTAGAACTCCTGGACATACTTTAACTTCAGGTAATATACTTTTTTTATTATGATTAGAACTTGGATTTAAAATGAGATGTATTTGATATTGTACTTCGCAAAATCAAATCAAAATTTGAATTTGAACCAAATATTTGATTCAAATTCAAATTTTGATTTGATTTTGCGAAGTACTAATTTGATACTTTCTGAAAATGCTTTATACTTCTAAAGCATATTTCTACATAATTTTTGAGTTTATTCTCACTTTTATTATTTTTTAAAGGCCTGGATGATTATCCAAGACCAACTCCACCACATCCTGCAGAATTACACATTGACTTGATGTGTTGGGTAGGATTTATGGCAAGATCACTTAGGGATATTGCCGAGAGACTAGATGAGGAAGATGATGTCGAAGATTTCGGTAAACATTATAGAGACATTATTAATAATTTGAATGGTTAGTTAGTATTTTGCTTTATTGATAATTATTAGTTTATGATACGGTCAGTTATTAAAATAATACATATTTTGGTTAGATTTGCATTGGAGTGAGAAGGATCAAGCATTTTGTGATGTTTCAATTGACGAAGATAGTAAGTAGCATTTTTTCAAACTTGCATTTAAAATTCGGTTATAATGTTCATTCAAATTCATTTTCTTTTATAATAGATGAATCAGTTCACGTGTGTCACAAAGGCTATCTATCATTATTTCCAATGTTACATGGATTTTTACCAAATGATTCACCAAAGCTTGGTGCTACCTTGGACTTAATGTACAATCCGAATGAGCTATGGTCACCGTATCCTTTTTGCTATTAAAATGAGGACTAAAAAAATTTTTGGCCAAATATAGATTATTATTTTTAATAGTAAATCTAAACCAAAATTAACAATCATCAAATAGATATGGATTAAGATCACTTTCAGAATCCGATAAATATTTTAATACAGAAGAAAATTATTGGAGAGGACCTGTTTGGATAAATGTTAATTATTTTGTTTTATCATCTTTATATAAAGTAAGTTATTTCATATTTTATGATCATAATAGTTTATAATTTGTTTATTTTTTGTATTATTAATTATAATTTGAATTTACTATATTTGAACAATTTTATTTTGATCACTTAAAATAGAATTATGCAGCAAAACCTGGACCGTATCAAGAAAAAGCAAAAAATATATATAAAGAATTAAGAGATAATATAATTAATAATGTTTATAAAGTAAGTTTTATATTTCATACTTATTATGTATGTAGTTGATATTTAATTATTATAATGCTTTTGAATTTTAGGAGTTTAATAGAACAGGGTATTCATGGGAACAATATTCTTCTATTAATGGAGAAGGAGTAAGAAGGTATTTTTTTATTATATTTTTTACTTATATAATGATATTTGTTTAATTTAATTATGGTTAAGTAAAATAATATTGTTTGAAATAGTCATCCATTTAACGGTTGGACTTCGTTAGTTACGTTGATAATGGCTGAAAAATATTAATTCGTAGAGTTTAAGCTCCTGTATTATTGATTTGTTTTAATTTTATAGAAAAGCCATTAGGCTATTTTTTTTAAAAATTTATATTTAGAATAAATGATAAAAGTTAATATTCTGTTTTTCAAATTTCAAATATTATGCTAAGAAATGTAAATTGGAGAAGACTGCCTATAAGTTTGCATTTTGAAATATTTATACTCGTTTTAATAATTATCTGCTATTTTACTAATGGACTATTTACATTAGATTAAATTAAACAATACAACGATGAATCATCAGATTTTGAAAAGTCAAACTTTATACCGTGTAAAAGTTTTTTTTTAAAAAAAATAGTAAAAAATAAAACCTTTAAAATAGTTATTCTTGAAATAAAAGTTATCCATCCATTTTTGCGAATTAGTAAAAATGGGGTCCTTAACATTAGTATCCAAATTTAGCAATACACATAAATGTCGAGTATTCATAATAAATTTAGGAATTTTAATAAAGGGTCAAGTTGTGTCATGCCTTGTAGTGCAATACGAGTTTTATAAAGTAGTGTTATTCATAATACAAAATTGACCGATTAAAACTTTACGAGCAGTTAATGGATTAGCTGAAAGGATTAAATAAGTCGGTCTGAAAACAAAAGAATTAAATTGCAAAAATGCCTAACGTAAAGTTATAACTTATTGAAAAGATCATAAAAACTTTATTTAAATATATTCAATATACTACTGACATACACCAAATGTATAAAATAACGACAAAGAATCTAACTGGTTATTTCATTAAGTTTGTTAATATTTATAAATGAATTTTTTTCACATTAGTCTTAAAAATTATCCCATAGTTAAAATCAAATACATACGCTTACGACAAAATATTATTAAAGTCAATAAATAAACTTGTTGCAATAATATTTAATTAATATAAAAAACAATTTGATTTGTTTATTTATTATTATATACACAGGTCGAAATAATGCAAATCGGGTTCAAATCGGTCATGATATGAACCCGATTTGAATACAATTTGGATTAATCTCAGCATACAAGACATATCGACAAACCGATAGCTTAATAGGTAAATCAATAGAGCTTATCTTATAGCGCCATCGATTTACTTATTGAGCTATCTGTTTGTCGATATGTCTTGTATGCTGATATTAATCCGAATTGTATCCTATAGGTATCTTATTTCCGCCAAATATCTGTTTCAAATCGGGTTCATATCATGACCGATTTGAACCCGATTTGCTTTATTTCGACCTGTGAAAATAGCTTCATACTCACAGGCTAGTAATTTAATTTAGTAATTTAATTTTCAATTGAACAATTAAATGTTTAATAATAATTATAAAATTTTTAATTTATTATAAAGGTTTTAATTTATAAAATAATCTTATACTCACGATCTATTAATTTAATTTGCATATAAATAATTTGAAATGGTTTATTTAAGTACATGTAAATTATTATAATATATAAAATAGTTTCATACTCACCGTCTAGTAATAGATTTATTTGCATTTTAACAATAAGATATTAAAATTTTTAATATATAAAAATAGTTCATACTCACAAGCTAGTAATTTAATTTAGTGATTTAATTTTCAATTGAACAATTAAAATGTTTAATAATATTATTATAAAATTTTTAATTATTTAAAAATTTTTAAATTATAAAATAGTCTTATACTCACCGACTAGTAATTTAATTTACATATAAATAATTTGAAATGGTTTATTTAAGTACATGTAGATTATTATAAGTTATTCATATATAGTTTTATACTGACCACCTAGTAATATATTTAATTTGCATTTATTAATAGGATAATATAATAAAATTTATAACATATAAAAATAATTTCATGCTCACCGACTAGTAATAGATTTAATTACATTTTAACAATAGGATATTAAAATTTTTAATATCAAAAATAGTTTTATACTCACAGGCTAGTAATTTAATTTAGTAATTTAATTTTCAATTGAACAATTAAATGTTTAATAATATGGTTATAAAATTTTTAATTATTTAAAAATTTTTAATTTATAAAATAGGCTTATACTCACTGTCTAGTAATTTAATTTACATATAAATAATTTGCAATGTTTTATTTAAGTACATGTAGATTATTATAAGTTATTAATTCTTATACTCACCGTCTTGCTAGTAATTTAGTTAATATAATAATTAGACATATTATTTAACTGTGAATTATTATTTGGTTTTTAATTTGTAAAATAATCATATACTCACCGGCTAGTAATTTAATATAGAGAAGTTTATTTAATAGCAGATTATTATAATGTTTAATTTATAAATTATCATTATACTCACGGCTAGTAATTTAATTTGCATATTATAGAGAAGTCTATTTAATAGTTTATTGTTATAAAGTTTAAAATTTATAAAAAAAATAATCTTATACTTACATCCTATAATTTATATATAAATAATTGGATTTTTTATTTTATTTTATAAATATACTTACGGCCTATTAATTTGTATATAAATAATTAGAGGTGCTTTTTTTTAATAATATTATTGTAAAATTTTTAATTTATAAAATACAGTAGTCTTATACTTACGGCCTATTAATTTTACACATAAATAAGAGATGTTTTATTTAATAATATTATTGTAAAATTTTTAATTTATAAAATAGTCTTTTACAACCTACTAATAATTTTATTTATGTATAAATAATTAGAATGATTTTATTAATAGTAAATTATTATCGAAAATTATATATTGCACCTGTGGTGTTCAACACCACAATAATTTTTGTATATGAGCTGCAGTGTAACATATAAATCAAAATAATTTTTATCAAAACAAAAATAAATTTTGATTAAGATTAGGGTTAGGGTTAAAAGCTGGGATGGGGTGGGAGCTTAGTTTATACCAAAATTTTGTAAGGAATTTTTTTTGTTAGGAATCGAAAGGTGGTTTCATAGGTAAAAATTTTGAGCTATACCTATTTTTTTGTAAAAAGACAAAAATTCTATGTTACACCTGATCTTCATCAGGAAGTTCGAAAGATGTTAAATAACTAATAAAAAAATGTTGACCTATATTGGGTTTGTTAAACTATACTTTTTATTAATAAAATTAGTATTAAATAACACTTTATGCGTTAAACAACTTTAGTTATTTAACTACATATCATGTTTGTTGACATGATATACAGTTGAATAACTAAAGTTGTTTAACACATAAAGTGTTATTTAATACTAATTTTATTAATAAAAAGTGTAGTTTAACAAACCCAATATAGGTTAATACTTTTTCGTTAGTTATTTAACACCTTTCGAACTTCCTGATGTAAATAAAATCTCTACATAATTTTTAAATGCAAATTAATAGGGCGTAAGTATAAAACACTGTATTTATAAATTAAAATTTCATAATTTACTATTATATTAAATATTTAATTATTTATATATAAATTATAGGATGTAAGTATAAGATTATTGTTTATAAATTTTAAACTTTATAATAATCTACTATTAAATAAACAATCTCTAATTATATGTTGATTAAATACTAGTCTGTGAGTATGACTATTTTATAAATTAAACTTAATAAAAATCTACTGTTAACAAAATATCTAATTATTAAAATTACTAGCCGGTGAGTAAAGAATTTTTACAAATCAAAATTTTACAATTATATAATTAAATGAAACATCTCTAAATAATAAAGTTTTATAATATCTTATTAAATAAAACATTTAATTATTTATATGTAAATTAAATTACTAGGCCGTGAGTATAAACATTTTTTAATAACACATAATACCTACAAGTACTATTAAATGAACCATTTTAAATTATTAATATGTAAATTAAATTATTAGGATGTGAGTATGGGACTATTTTATAAATTAAAAGGTTTAGAATATTTTATTAAATAAAGCGTTTCAAATTATTTATATGTAAATTAAATTACTAGATGGTAAGTAAAAGTGTATTTTATGAACTAAAAATTATAGTATTTTATAATTCTGTTATTAATTAAGACATCTCTAATTTTAAATTACTAGACGGTAATTATGACTATTTTATAAATTTAAAATCTTATAATGTTAAATAATATCTCAATTATTTATGCGTAAATTAAATTTCTAGAATGTAAGTAAAAGTGTATTTTATAACTAAAATTATAGTATTTTATAATTCTACTATTTATATGTAAATTAAATTTCTAGCTGGTAAGTAAAGGTGTATTTTATGAACTAAAATTATAGTATTTTATAATTCTACTATAAAATAAAACATCTCTGATTATTTATAAATTAAATTGCTAGAGGGTAATTACGACTATTTTATAAATTAAAAACTTAATAAACTATTATTAAATATACATCTCAATTTATATGCAAATCAAATCACTAGATCGTGAGTAAGACTATTTTATAATTAAAACTTTGTAATAATATTAAATAAACCATTAATTGTGTAATTGCAAATTCAATCACTAGACTGTGAGTATAAGTACTATTTTACTAATTATAATAATTTACTAATAATAATAATTTACTAATAATAAATTATCTTTAATTATTTATACGTAAATTAAATTGCCAGACCGTGAGAATAAGGCTAATTTCAGTTTTAAAATTTTATCTTATTATTAAAATAAAATTCTAATTGTTCAATTGCAAATTAATTACTAAATTAAATTACTAGCCTGTGAGTATAAGATTACTGTATTTTATTAATTATAATAATCGGCATTGTTAAATCACACCACTGGTATTAAACACCACAATAATTTTTATTATAAGCTGCAGTGTACATAAACATCAGGAAGTTCGAAAGGTGTTAAATAACTAACGAAAAAGTATTAACCTATATTGGGTTTGTTAAACTACACTTTTTATTAATAAAATTAGTATTAAATAACACTTTATGTGTTAAACAACTTTAGTTATTCAACTGTATATCATGTCAACAAACATGATATGTAGTTAAATAACTAAAGTTGTTTAACGCATAAAGTGTTATTTA